ATCTCCCTCTGAGTGGGACACCTCTCAGAGCTTGGGAACTCTTAAGTTTGTGCAACTCAGAGGACCATCCCTGAAGACCAACAATGGGACCTGGGCTGAAACCCTCCACTCCTTGAGGTTCAACCCTCACCTGTTAAGAAATGCTGAGACATTTTAAGTTAGTATTTCACTGAACTCAAGGGGAATGTTTAACAGGTATACCTTTATTTATATATATATATATACACACACACACACACACATATATATATGTGTACATATATATATATATATACACAAACACTATACCTATATCAGCATATGTCTCAATATTCATATCCATGTCTATACCTCTGTGTGTGTATGATTAGAAACTACTGAATCTGTCAGTTTAGTAAGGAAAATCATATTATCTAGCACTATTTAATACAATAGTGTTAATAAAACCATACATTGCTGCTATTTTAACTTTAAATTGCTGCTATCCCAAAGTCATATAAAACACATAATCACATGTTAAAACACTATACTAAGATACCTACACATAATCCCTTTAAAACATAAACCACTGATCAAGTTATTTTAAAATGCGATGGACAGGTATATATCAAATTAGTTAATCTAATTTCAAAAAAATAAAATAAGACTTTATTGGTAACTGGAATTAGTGGAAAATGTTCTTTTCAGATGGTCATACTGATATTAATGGATTCTAGAGTAGGAAGACTTTAAAACTTTAAAAAGATGAAGGAGTGCTTGAAAGTAGACCCACATCCATTGTGGCCTGCCACATTTAGATGTCATATATTTTTATTTTTTATCTTGAAACATCAGCTTTAAAATTATTGGGATTTACATACTGCATGTATATGTTTTTGTTGTTTATAGCTTTTATGTTTATAGCTAAGACTATCCAGTCCAACATCAAATTGCTTCAGACACTGACTGAAGCTTATACTATTTGCAACTCATTGTGATCAAACTCCATCAGCTTTTTCGGAAGCAAACCTGTAAAGCATCTATGCCAGTTCAACTTGTCATATAATTACAATATATTATGTTAGTACTGTATTATTTTCTTTAAAGTGTTCAGTTTAAATACAGTTGAACTGTTATTTTGACTTTATTTTCTAATGGTATGTTTGCTAATTTAATTTACAAGAATAGTTTCCACTCCATTACTTTCAAATGCTTAAAAGAGAAATGAGATTAAACCAAGTAAAAAAAAAATTCTAGGATTTTACATCTTCTTCTATTTTTTGCTAAATCAGTGCAAGTTTTCTCCTGAAAAAAGAGCTACCTATTCCCTTCCCACACTGTGCAATAACACATGTTTACAACTCTCAAGTTACCATCTATCTTCTTCTGTTTCTCAACTGCGAAATATATTGCATCTTTCATCAGGAGTTAACCTCACTACAGATAATTCTCATTCCCAAAAGCTACTGATATATCAACCTTCTCAAAGAAGGCATTGTCCAGGTTTTTAGCTGGAACAGAGCTGGGTTTCTTTTTAGTAGCTGGAATAGTGCTGCATTTTGCTTTCAGCCTGGGACTTGTTATGAGAGAGACACTGATAACACACCAGTGTTTGCATTTTTGTTGCTGGAAGTGAAGGACTTTGTGTTCTGTCAGTCTAAAACCACAAGATCTATGGGGTTGAGGAATATTTAAATTAATAAGCTAAATTGACAGTTAGATATGCCAATGGGATATTCCATATCATATCACGTTATGTCCAGTATATCAGTGAGGGGCTCTTCCTCTTTTGCCCCTCTCTGGCTTTCGCTTGGGCTCTCGTTCTTCTGGGATTCGGTTTCGGTTCAGGATTGTTGCTCCTCCAGGATCGTTATCTGGGAACAGGCCGGGCTCGGTCAGTGGATAGTGAGCAGTTGCACTGGGTATCACTCATTTCCATATTTTGTTACTTATCATTATCACTACTATTTTAATATTAGTATAAATTTTCTTTTATTTCTATTATTAAACTGTTCTTATCTCAACCTAAGGAGTCTCCTCACCCTTGCCTCCCAGTCCCCTCCCCTATCTCCTGGGGGTGAGGGGGAAGTGGGTGAATGGCTCTGTTGGCTGCTAACCAATGGCTAGCCCAATGAAACTATCACAGGCATGCTTGTTTTTTCTCTTTAAAAAAAAAAATAAATAAATTAGCTATAGCTAAGGCATTAATGACACTGATGACATCTCACAATAACATTATCTTTTATTAGAGATCTGATTTTACATATCCCCATAAGATATAAAACCTTCCAACAGAAAATATCAAAAACCTTCAGTTGAAATCAGTTTGTTTCAGACAATATGAGCAAGTAAACCAAAGACATTTAAGATAAAGGAATGTAAAAAAAAAAAAAATTAGTACAGGTACAACTCTGGTATGGAAAGTAATTACAAGGTTTTAAACCACTTCTTACACAGCATTGTCTTTAAAACCATACTGCAAGGTAAGGATGCTTGGTTCTCTTAACCAGTAGTTATAAACCCAGCAGCTATAAAAAAAAAAAAAAAAAAAAAAAAAAAAAGGATGGGCAACACACAGAAAAAACCAAAGGACTTAACTGAAATATCCAATATAAAAAAATACAGTGTAAGAATTCATTAAGAGTTGTTGGGAAAAAACCCCAACCAAACCCACTGGCAGCTACATTCTGAACCAACTGAAGTAAAATTTATTATCAGACTTTGAGTGGAATTCTGATTTAGTTAAGGATTTCAGGAATGGATTCCAAATTGAAGGCTGCTCTGTTGTTACACAAAAAACGCAAAATAAAGGAGCAAAGATTAAATCTGCTGGTTAAGGAAGATTCAGGAAGCATGATTGTACAGCTGATGACAGAAGAAAAGATCAAATGCTATATGAAACATCTTTTGGAAGTAATTCCAACAGACAAAATACTTTAAAACTTTATTGCATTAAAATTTTACTTTTCTGCCTAACAAAACTGAAATAGTATTTTGAAAGCTCTCTTGCACAGAACACATAAAAGTCTCTGAAGCATTTTAATTCTCAAGATGCAACAAAATTAATGAGAAATTTCTGCAAGCAAGTCTACCAAGCTTTGAGTTCCAACAAAAAACAGTATCTTCAAATACTAGAGCTAAGAAAAGTTACAGTACATGTTTATTGCATGAAAACATCCATTTACTGGATCCATTTCATTCTTCCCTTTGTGGTTAGTGGTTCTTATATTCTTGATATAACTTGCACCAGATCCTACTAAGTATTCCATTAATTAGAAAACACACGGTAGATTGAATTGAGTTGGGAAATCTACACAATCTCAACAGGAACCCAACCTGTGACAATGCATGAAATCGAAGTTTCACTTTCATTTTCTTTTAAGATAGCCCGTAGCTACATGATATAATTTGATACACTGTGGAACAATGATGAAATTAAATACAGTAGACAATATTAGAGATAGACAATAGTACACCTTTTTACCAATTATGGCTTTTCATGCATTAGTATGAAAGACAATGGTATATGGTAAAGCAAAGCATAAGCAAGAGATAGAAGAAAGTTATCAGAATAAATGAAGACACGGAAATGGGATCATACAGAAGTGCATGTTTATATATACTAACTGTAAACAGCAGCTCTACTTAGGGAAATATTTTTCACACTTGAATGGCTTCAGCACTAAATATGTATTACTTAATACATGAAAACAAAGCAAAAACTAAGACTCCATTCTTCAGTAATGTGAACACTGGCAATGTAAGTGAGGTTGCAAGTCTGAAAAATGTTTAAAATATAGGCACATGATTCTGAATTAACAGGTCACCACAGTCTGTGACATGAAAGCTCACGTTTTGATGGGTTTCCAAACTATGTCTTGCTTATTATCAACTCTCTGCATCAAGTTCCAATTCTCTTGAAAGCAGCTGAATTTCAATTTTACAGTATTTTTTAAAAAATTTAATATTATGACATCATTTTAATACATTCAAATAGTCAAAAAGTTCAGAATAAGATAGCACAAATGTGGTGCAGAAGGACATAGATCAGAAGGTGGCCAGCATTGTCAAATAGGAGATACACAGCTTAAGTATTATATAAGCTACCTTCCCCCCAAAAAACATTAACATAGACACCAAAATTGTAACAAGACGTATCAAAAAATAAGGCACATTTATCTCGATATGGTAATCTTGAAATAGAAAACTCATTTCAGAGAACATTGGTATCTAAATGAGTTTATAAAAAATCTTGTATTCATGATAATATGGACATTTCTCATCATACATGATAATGGAATAATTGCACATATCCCAGTGTGTCAAGTAACAAAATGGGAGTTTTATTAAACATTTCCATTGCAAAAGTATTTGTACGTTCATGTTTTCCTATTTACATGAATCACGTGAATGGCAGAAGTATTAAAATCTACCATCATTTATCACAAGTACTGCAGGCTTTCATTTTACCACAATTAATAATCCCCTTTATTGAATAAATTGAAATTAATTGTGGAGTAAATTGAGATTATTGTCATTTATATAAATGATTGTAAATATTTGGACAATAGCTACTACACAAGAACATTTTATTCAATTTAATTTCCAAGCTGCATCAGGACTTTCCACACTGAATTATTTGTACAGAAATTCATCAAAGATCAGGCTGTTTAAAATCCAATCCCCTCTTTATGGAAATTAAAACACCAGAAAGATCATTAGTTAGCATTTAACCTGAGATTTAATCTGTTGAGAGGTGAACATCCCTAGAAATTTCTTCATTTGTTGCATTAACTTATACCGATGTTCCTATTTTATGAAAACAAATCAAACCAAACAAAAACAACAACAACAACAAAAAACCCCAAAGGTTGCTTGCAACATGGCTTATCCCTGTGTTTGTCAAAAAAATTATAGAATGCATGTTTTTCTCACAGTATCCAGAAGCTGGAATAATAATAATGTGCTTCTTATTGCACGTGAAACTTAGAGGAGATATAATAGCAGATTCCTCTTCTCTGTCTGAATATTAAAGCCAGATTTCATCTTAGCCGAATCCGGAATGTATTTATCTCCATAGGACTCATATTTATTTCACTCATATTTCTGGCATCTGGAGGTGAATGCATCAAAGACAAAGATGTGGGTGTAAGACTTTCCACTCTGAATTTGTTAAAGAGTTTATGCACCTTTATCTGGGGGGGGGGGGAAAGAAAAAAAAGAAAATAAATACATTTAGAAAATACAGTAAATACCTTAAAACTGACTAGAACCTAATCTCTAGTAATGATCCAAATGATACATCTTCTTACAGAGATTGCAGAGCAATTCTCACACTGAAGATTATAAATATTTTTAAATACCATGTCTCAAATACTATACACTAAATTATTTCTTTATAGGCAGTGTTCACTCGTCAAATTTCAAAGAAGTAAGTTAAATCAATATATTAAAAAACTTATCAGAAATATTTAGATTAAAACTCTTCTTGTTTCTATACAAAACAACACTTACTCTTCTGCTTAAAGAAAACTCCAAACCTATATCAAAATTTCATTACAAAATTTCTACAGATTCAAAACCATCCAGTCCATCTGCAACCCTGAGAACAAAATTGTATAATTTATGTTTCATAATTTTATGTATCACATCAATTCTATAGCAACTGCAAAACACTCAGATATTTGCAATAGTGCAGGTCATGTAAGCAACCATGAGTAGATAAAGGACATAATTCAAGAGATATACTTCAGAATATGTAATTTGACTCTTTTTACTCAGTAAAGTTCTAAAACACTACTAAAAAATTATTTGAGAAATATTGATCCATGTTAGATGGAAACAATATTTGAAGGAAGTTAATGAAATTAAAACTGACTTAAAAGTTTACTTGTTGATGATTATAGTCACTCCCACACACCAGCAGATCCGAATCTTCATCAAAAGGAAAGTAGCTTTAAATATAAACTTAAGTATTATCCTGAAAGTATAACTCCTGAAAAATAACTACCTAGACTTCACCTATAATTTGACTTATATAAAGACGAGTTTCTGCAATACTTGTAAGGTAAGCTACCCAAAAAATATCAGTATACCTTTCCCTGAGTAGTGGCACAGAGCAGACCCATGTCTCTGTTAGAAAATCTACAGTCAAACCCCTTTCTATGAAGAATCAGAGCAGCTTCGTCAGATGGCTCAATATCTACCTACAAATAAACAAAACAGAAATTACTCAGAAAGTAGCAGAGCTAGAAAGACATTTTAGGACCTCATAAAATTATAATTACCTTACAGAGATAGAGCCACTTTTGCCCAAATAATGTTCAACCTAGACTGAGCAGTTGTGTTTCTTTTAATGTTTATAAGACTAAATACAGAAAGAACTAAACAGCAAAGGAATTCAGACATATAAAGCACTATGGAATATAAATGCATGTTGTTAATCAAGGAGTTCAAAGCTCAACAAATGCACATGGACAGACTCCGAGTTTAAGTGTAGCTATCATAGTTGTATTGTCTTCCCAGAAAAATTATATGGCAAAACCAAAATCAAACTAGAAATCATATGCTAATTACAACAGACAGTTTTAAATGCTCATTGTGACTATGTTCCATCAATGTTTTCATTTTGCAAAGCTGACCTCTAAAATCTAACTCAGCTTAAGGTGTACACAAAACCACACACTAAAATCCAAATATTACATAAATTTTACATTTATAGATAAGACATACAGTGCTCCTGAGCCTCAATTGGCATCAAAAAGTAACCCAAGAGTAACTCACAATCTTATCTTCCTAGTTTGGACCAAATCATTAAAATAACTTCAGACAAATGGTCGCAAGGATATCATATAAATACCTGAAATTATAATCTTGTTTAGATTTTATACTTCAGAAAACAAAGTCATAGCCCAGAGCTGTCTGGGAAACTTCAATTTACACAAAAACTTCATTTTTTTTCTTTTACACTAAGATACAGAAAACTACTTTTGTACAGCAATAGTAACAGAGAAGAAATTTTTCACATTATAGATGAATGTGCATGCAAGCTACCTTTACACCACGAGTGGCATATGACAAGATGCTCTTCATGCTGCAAGCTGTTTGCTGTATTGCTACACTCACCTTAGTAATTTATTTTCTATGATGCATTCCTTTACTTCTTTTTTGTTGTTGTTTTATATTCTTCTTATTACATCTTATTACAAAGTCATAAAAAAAGATGGCTCTATCCACAGCCATGACAGCTCTTCAGACTATTTTTTTTCTAATTTATTTCTGGTTTACCTGTTTCTGTACTGTCCTAAAGTCTCTGCCATGAGTAAGGTTAATTTCTCATACATCAGTGAGTATCAGTTGCTTTGGAGAAACCTAGGCCGACAAGCATTATGTAATTCGTGATGCCTTAGCTCTTGGAGGTGTAAGAGGGAGGCCTTAATGAGAGAGGCCTTAATCTAACCAATCTTCTCCTTGGAACAACTTGAACTAGCTTCTTAGAAACCCAGTATGACACAGCATCACAGTACAACAAATGCAGAGTATGAAGTACCCACTCAGATAATAAAAAATGGTAAACTGATAAATTTAGTGTTTTCTAAGTAAGTTCCTCTTTTAAAATAGTGAAAATTTACTCAACAGTAGTTGGAATTGAAATGAGGTACTTCGCAGGAAAACATTTGACTGGTAAAAACTTGGACAGTTTATAAATCATGAATAAAACTCAGTTTGAGAAGATTTTCATGAACAACATTAGCTTATAACCACCTGAAATCCGATTTTTAATTAATGAATGGCATCTACAGTCAGCGTATTCAAACAAGTTTACAGTACTTAATATAATTGATGGCTGAAAAAGTTCTTATCCTGCTTATTGCAACAGTAGTACCACTTTCCACATTAAGTAATAATGATGATGTGACAAAATTATTCTCCATCTCCAACTATGAAATATCTGACTTGGTTTTCACTGTCACTGATAGACAGTGTTGCACTTAAAAGCAGACGTTTTTATACACACAAAATAATACTGTCTGTCTAAACATCAGATTAATGAAATAATAAAATTTATACTGCAGAAGCCTGACTTCCTATGGGTTAAACTGATGTTAAAAATGACAAGCCAGTAATGAGCATCAACACTTTCTCTATTACAGTAGAATTACCTCGTATTAATTTGCATAACAAATACATTTATGCATTTCAAATGATAGCATGAATATTTAATCTCTCAAGTTTTTAAAATTAAATATTATCTTAATTAAGATTCAAAAGATTTAAAATAGAAAATTAATAAATAATTAATGACACCTTCAGGAAGAGAGTTTTGGTAAGTATAAACATTTATGATGTAGTCAACGTTTTAGAATTCACAGGACTTTATCATGCACGTAGCATCCATGTATGATAAATTAAGCTGTTCTAACCTACTATTAAAGCAGGTGTAAGACTAAGTTGCCACAGTCTCTGCATGTACTTTAACTTAACTCTTCTTATATCATCTCTAGGTAAATTAGATTAAGTGCATGCAAGCCTAAGGAAAGTCTGAGCAAGGACGAACCTAATTTACATCAAACACACCTTCTAAACATGACCATGCTCATTGCATGAAAACCTTCCACAAATTTCTCAATTTTCAATGAACAACAACATCCTAAATCTTGTAAAACTTCACAGCATTTTTATCTGACAAAAATTCCCTAACTACTGTACTATTAAATCTCTGATTGCTTTTCTCAGAAGAGCTGCCAAAGTTTGATTTGATTTTGATCTCTGAGAAGTAAAAAGCAGCTCTCATATCAGATGGAAAATAATTTTGCTAGGCTTTCTCGTAAGCAGTATCCCAGGGCAATGCTGCTAAAATTTTGATTTTGATAAAGAAAAATTTTGAGAAAGAAAAACATTTTAAAACTTTTTTACTAAGCTAATACTGTAAGCTAACAGACATGCATTGAAATGTAAAGCAACGTGACAAAAATTTGTATTTATATTTAGTATAAAGGGACAAATGTACTCAGTTTTTAAATCTTGAGGCCTAGTCTATTTACAGTAGGTAAAATCTGTGTCAAACAACTTAAAACCTGGAGCTTTATTACAAATAAATGATGTAATATGAAAAGGTAAATGAAAAGATTTTACAGTGAAGTGTGGAACATACACTTCACATGAAGATTTAATTAAATATGAAGCTTCCTCCTAACTCTTCAAAGGCATAAGACCTGCAGAATCAAGAGTTATTCCACTTTGAAATTGAAAATAAGAAACAGTCACAGCTAAAGGAGTACATATGAGATTTAACTACTAAAAGGGAAAGTGTGAGAAAGTAAACTAATTCTTTAAGTGTATGGCAGAACTAAAAAGGGAATTAATCTATGGTAACAGCCCTGGTGAGTGACACTGCAATACAGCATAAAGGCAATATAGCCACATTTAAAAAAATGATGAAAAACTGAACTGGAGGAAGAAGGATGCACAAACAGTTCTACTTCTATAGTTTATCAAACAAAAAATTGAGATATGGTGGTAACAATTGTGTAAGTTCATTTACAAGGAAAAAAAATACCGAGTACAGAACAGGTTTTTTGTTTGGGTTTTTTTGATGCTGGTTCTTTTTTTTCGTAAACATGCCAGAGCACAGTTTCAAAGGAACCATGGACTGCATGTTGATAATAGAGTAATTAAAATAGGCCTTCTATTTAAGCTTAAAAATATTTTAACAATTTATTCTTATGGATGTTAAGGAGTGGTAGATTTTCTTTAAGTCTTCCAAATGGAATCAGTTGGATTTAAAACTGTATGCTTTATTAAAAACACAAATTATTGTACTCAGAACAAAGTCTAATGACCTTAAATTTAATCCTTCTTAACACAGGAGAGGCCAAAGTATATGAACTCTTCTGGTCTTAAATTTTGTGAATACATTCAATCTGCCCCCTCCAGAGACAGAATAATGCACAATGCATATTATTAAATTGTGAAAAAACAATTTCTGTATTTCATGTTAGTTAGGCACAATTGCAGAATTAACAAAAACTAGTCATCACACTGCACTTTATCATATCATATAAAAAAACTCCCCACAATTTACTTTCCTAAAATAAAGTATTTGGTTAGACTATATTAATAAGCTGTATCATATGTTTGCTCATAAAAATAGTGGCTTGACCTTACCTTTGATTGGATTGTCCTCAGATTGACTATATGCATGTCACAAGGCATGGATGACATGAGTGGAGAAAAAGTATTTAGTATCTCTGGGACACCTGAATCTGCATATGTTGTCATTGGAATTACAGGATGATTTAAGAAAGAAGAAGTCATGTGACTAAGAAGTGAGGGAAAACTGACTGATGCCTTCTCTTCATTCTGCAAAATACGAGAGAAAATATTTGTAAGATAATACATTATCATGTCTACACTTTGAAACCCACTTCCTTTATAAAGGATTCCACTAATTTAATAGAAAATATTAATTAATAGACTGTCCATTTAATTACTTTTGGAAACTTCTGATCTTCCACTGATTTTCTTCTAGTAGGAGTTATGCTTCCTGTTTTTACAAATCATTAGTAAATCTTCCAAAATTATCATTAGATAACAATTCATTTTACAACATTTCTCAGTTTTCTGTGTTATCCCTTGAATGTATAAACAATGTAGTTTAGAGAAAGAAACTAGTTTCTACTTTAGCAAGTTGTTCCTATCTATTCAGTATCTACTTGAATACTGATAGCCAGATAGTCTTTCGCAGGCTTCCTTTCCTACATAAATTTTCTGTCTTGTATTTCTTATCTACTTTTTTCAGATCCGTCTAACTTGTGTCCTACACTCCTCTTTGTTTTTAAATCTAACTTCTTAAAACTGTTTGCTGGAAAAAATTGCCACTAGCATCACTGGCCTGGTCTGCAATGCAAAAGATTTCTTTCAGCACTTTTATTTCACTGTCATGCCAGCAAAGGGACTCTCAAGATTTTACAAGTTTTGTACTTTCCCAAGTTTTGTATTTGCAGTGCTTTTACATGACTGCAGCAAGCTGTGTTACAAACCTGAGATGATTTCTGTTTTAGAGTGTCAGTGACAGCAAGGCAGAAATGGGTGAAAACTTACTTTGTTCTTATTTTTCATTGCACATTTCATCAAATAAATCCCTCCTTGTTTATAGTTAAACAGGTGATTTCTAGTGAAAACTTTGCGTAATGTTTAGTTAAAACATAGTATCTTAAGCACTTATATCTTAAATTTGCATTTTATAATAGGCTGAAAACATGGAAATAAAAAATATATGGGAGATACTTAAAGCAAAGGGGAGGATTATTTACCAGCTTATAAAGGACGACCATAACAGTAATTCCTGTTTTGGGGCGCATCTGCATATTTATTTATACCTCTACAGTAGCATTAAATACATCTGTCAGTGAAGCGATTGAAAATATGCCAGAGCTGAACTGATGCGAGTTAATAATTTATGTTTTATTCTTGTTGCTCTTCTTAGTAACGACTAACACTGTTTGCCTCTTTCATAGCTATTAAGTATTGAGGATAGTATTTTTATAGATCTATTATGACCCCCAAATTACTTTCCAAAAATAGCAACAGTTGATAGTTGTAGAGGATTGCACCTCCATGCACCTCACTACATTTATTTACATGGAATTTCATCTGCCACTTTAGTGCATGCTTAACCTGCCTTGAGCGCCCCAATTCCTCAGTTAGCTGTGATTTTTTTTTTTTTTAAATTACCTTGAATAGTTCAGCATCACTGGCAAACTTCCTTCTCATGATTTTGTTCTTTTCCTATTAGAGTATAAGCAAGTCTGCTCTAAGTACAATTAAAGCTAAAAGTCTTCAGTTCGAGTGATTGCATGCACACTCTGCCCACAGGGAAAATGTGCATTTACATGTTCTTTCAAAGAAGAATTCATTGTTTCCCCACAAAAGGAACATCACTTACTCTATTCCCATAGATGTGCTAAAGTCAGTCAAAACATTTCATTATGTTTTCTTACTATTATCCAATAATATTTTTCTATAAAATAAGTTGATTGCTTGCATCTGAGAACTTAAAAAAGGTCTCTGAGAATATCTTACAAATGACACATTAATCAGTCAAATAATTCATTCGTCCTATTATAATATTTAAAACAAAAGATGCATCAAAAACCCTTGCAACTGGTTCCTAATTCTAGCCATGTTACCTGAGAATGAGCAGAAGAAAAAACTACTGTCCAGCAACACAGTAACTTGAGATAGATTTTCATACGCTGTGTTGGGTTTGTATGTGTGTGTGTGTAGCTTTTTTTTTGGTAGTCAGGGAAGAGCCACCTTGTGAGAGCGAAAAGCTCCCCTGGCTCCAAGGCACAGACCTCCCCCAGCCCAGACTGGGCCAATGAGGACTAGAGAAACGCCTCTGCCAATCCATATTTGTGAGGGGAAGGACTGTCCTGAAAAGAAGTAGGTGTGGTACCTGGAGGAGAGGCTGTTAATCTAAAGAAAAGACGACCATTGGCCTAAACAAAGGACAGACAGACAGACAGACAGAGCTTCATGGCAGGAGGAAGGAGAGGGAGGACAGAGAACCTCGAGACACCCAGTTCAGCAGCATGGAGTAGAAGACAAGGAAGTCCCTTGCAGCCCATGGAGATTCAACAATGGAGCAGAGACCCACAAGCAGGCCATGGAGGACTCCACGCTGGAGCAGAGAAGTTGAGCCTGAGAGCAAGTGTGACTATATGGAGACCCCGAGAGTCCCTCAATGCCAGAGCAGGAGTGGACCCCCAGAGTGGGAGGTAAGTCTGCAGCCCGCGGGTGTCCCCATGCCGGAGCTGGGAGCTGAGCCCGAATTGGTTGGTGACTCCATGGGAAGCTTGCTTTAGAACATCTTGTTCCTTGACTTCCACGCCGGGAAAAGAAGCAGAGGTGAAATGACAGCAACCCCCATTCCCTGTCCCGTGCCGCTGGAGAAGAAGGTAGAGACATCGGGAGCAAAGTGATTTGAGCCCGGGAAGAATGCACTCATTGCACTAACGAGTGTATCTTTATGCCTGGAAGTACAGTGCTTGCTGGAAACAAACAGAACTCATTTAGTTGTCTTTATAATTTCAGAAACATACGTTCCTGAGAAAATGCGTCCAAGGTCATCTGAGATGAAGAGACATGAGATCTTTCTGAAAGCATCTGTTCCATGCACATAAAAATATTGTGGACATAAACACAGGCATGACATCCATGGGTCAAAACCTTGCCCAAATCCCAGAGAACAAAAGTACAGGAAAAAATGGGTGGCAAGTTTGTATATTGGCTGACATGAAAGTAAAAAATTGCCCGTAGTAAAAATATCAGATGAATCTGCAGCCTTGTATAGGAAAAAATAGCACAAGGCAGGTCAGTCTTCTAGGACTGAATCCTTCAAAGCCTTCTCTAAAGCTAAGAGTAGTCATGTGAATAAAAAAAGTGTTTTTAATATAAAGATGCAGTAATGTATACTGCAGCTGAGAAACCAGGAAAGATGGAAGGAAAGACACTAGAAAATCTGAAGAAAAATGTGGGTGGGAGAAAATCATTAATTCTCAGATAACCCATAACAGAACCATAAAGAGTGGCTCCTCAATTCCTAGACTCTGGAAATAGTTAACTGAGAATTGCAGAGAAACAATGTCTTGACTGGACTCTGGCAAATGCTAGAACCAGAGCTCATTGAAATTGGCTCATTTTTGTTCCCATTGTGTTTAGATGTTTTATCACAGGCATAAGCATTGCCCTTAAGCAGTATCCACTTTAAAAAGCTGCACTGAGACTTAGGAGGAGTCTATCTTGAATTTTGTATTCCCACATATGGAATGACAGTCAGCTTTGGATGACTACACTAACAGAAGAAAGTGCGGTCATTCAGTGAGTCTTTGTAATAGCAATGGGAATGGAGAGTACAGCAGGTGTCAAAAGCTGCCAGAAGACCAAGGGAAAAAGGGTTTTGCAAACACTGTGAAGACAATACTAAAGTAACTGATGTCATCCACCTGGAATTGTGCAAGGCATTTGACACTATCCCACATGACATCTTTATCTCTAAATTGGAAACATGTGGGTTTGATGGACGGACCACTTGATGGATAAGGAACTGGCTGGACAGTTGCACTCAAAGAGTTGTGGTCATCAGCTCAATGTCTGAGTGGAAACCAGTGACAAGTGGTATCCCTCAGGGGTTGGTATTGGATGACCATGAGCCAGCACTGTGCCC